ACATTACATTATATATGATATATGTATATATTTTATTGTATAATATATAATATACTTTTTTGTATAATATATAATATATTTTATTATATATCATATTTTATTTACTAATAGATATTTATAATATTATATAATAAAAATATATTAATAGAATAAATATAAAATACAATGTATAATATACTATATTATTATTATTATTATTATTATTATTATTATTATTATATTAAAAAATATATAAAACACAAATATCATATATTATAGTATGCTATAAATATTATATATTACATATTTATATTTAAATTATTATCAATGTAAATATAAATATAAGATATTTATCATATATCTCAGGAGTTATCATATGCAGAAACTATGAACTTCTTAACTTCTCAAATAGGTTATCAGACACTGAAACTATGACCTTCTTAAGTAACTTTTAATTTACAATTATTTAAGAACTTCCAACTTACAATTCATAAACTTGCTTCTCGTTATCAAACAGGCCCCAACTGTGTTGGAAAAAAATTGTATAATGTTGCAACATTAAAATCTAGATTGCATGAATATGAAAAAAATGGACCTCAAAAAATATATCGAAAGAGATTGTTTTAATGTTTAAAAACTCTCTAGTTGATCATCTCAACATCGAGATTGCATGAATATGAAAAAAAAAAATAGAGTTTAAAAAATAGTGCATATTACAACACATTATCTAAAGCGTCCATTTTCAATATTTTCTTATGTTTATCAAAAATAAATAATATTTTTATATACTTTTTCGTTTCATATACCACCCACAACATGGTTGCAAATAACAAAATAGGGGTTGCAAATACTAACTTTCTTATTTTATTTTGTTTCATTCCAATGTAACGGGGACGATGGTGGCGTAGAACGCGTAAAGGCTTATGTGTGAATCATTGAAAAAGAGAAAAACGAATGTTTCTTTTATTATTAATTAAAGCATTTAAAATGCTAGTAGGACATTCAATTGGACACGTGAGAACGGTAAGAAGCTTCTAGAACTGCTTAAACGGTAATCCATCAACGGGCGACTCGGCGATTCAACTCAGTTGCCTCGATTTTTTTATGGTGTATAGGGAAGTTATTAAAAATATCTTCTTTTTTTTAAGGTTATTAGAAATAAATTTTAAAATTTTGAAAATCTCATCTATATCCCTTTTTATCACTTTTTATATTTTTTAACTAAAATACCCTTCATGGAAGTGTTAGGTTCGCGAAGACTGTTAACCCGAACCCGTTATTTCATGGAAGCGTTAGGTTCATGAAGGCATCATGGCTAACCCAGACCCGTTATGGTTGTTGAGGGTTCAAACACTGTTAGTGTGGCACTTAACTCATCATGGTTCTATTAGGACCATAATGATGGGGTAGCAATGGAACCACTGCCGTACTTAAATAACTATAATGATCACCTCGACCATCACGGATCTCGCAATATTTAAACAACCCATCGCAGTAATTTAAGTGTCATGATGCGGTTCTAGCCTTAAACCTAATATAAAGTCACCTAGAACCTCCTATGACCTTCATGGCTCTGGGTTACTATGATACCTTCACGGACTTAAGACTACCGTAAAGGATATTTTTATCAAAAAAACACAAACAGTGGTGACAAGGGGTCAGAATAAGGTTTTCAAAAAATTGAGGTTTATTTTTTTTAGGATTATATATAATGAGATCATTTTACCTTTCGTACAATGAGGTTACAATTACTTACAACCATTCAACGTGAAATCTGATAGCATGATGTGTCACAAAGTTCGAAAAAAATCCTTTTAAACTTTGAGCTTGTTCAATGAAATAAATGTATGCACTCAATTTCACATGTAATGGCCAAGATTAATTGTGATCACCTTGTACAAAAGGTAAATGGTCTCATTATATAATTTCCTTTTGTTTCTCTCTTTAGAGAAGAAGAGGAGAGAGAAGAGATTTAGGATAGAAAAAGAGTAGAGAGACGATTTGGGAGAGAATGTATTTAGGAGTGGCCATGGGTCAGGTCGCGATTGGGTCAACCCAGCTAAATTTAACATGGACCTGAACCCGACCCCGTTGGGTCCAAATGACTAGGACCCAAACCTAGGTCTAGAAATAAAAAGAACCAAAAAATTAATTTATATACTATGTAATATATATTTTTACCCATTTTATACTAGGTCGAGTCGGGTTAGGGTTGGTTCGACTCGACCTAACCCAATTTAGTCTATCAGACCCGGACCGGACCTAAGTGAGGTTCAAGCGTTTGGACAAAAACCTAACCGTTGGGTCCAAAACATGGACCCCAACACCGACCTGGTTTGGATCAACCCACAGGATTGGGATTGCCACCCCTAGTGTTTGCATCCCAATCATAGTTAGCAAGTTTGGGAATAATAAAATATCGACATATCAAAACATCGGTATTAAATTGGTTTTCTTTAAAAAAGTCAGAGGAAAAAATTGGGGAAAAAATATAGATCGCCAAAAAATAAGGTAAGTTAGAATCGTGAATAGTTCGAATTTGGTTAAAAAAAAATATAGTGAAAAAAATCAAATATGTAAATATGACACAATATAGGATTATGATTTGCAGCTATTGTATATATATTAAAACTATTAAATCATAATTTTATAGCCTTACTAGTGTCATTAGAGTAAAACTTGACAATTTTTTGTTGAAACTTTCAATAAATCTAACAACAATGCTTACTCTATTATCACAATACAAAATGTATCGTAGATTTACTGAAAGAATAAAATGAAACAACAACAACAACACTAAACACAAAAACTATTAGCAAATAACATGAATTGTGAATCAAGGTATGGGATTATTTTAAAAACAAAAAGAGGCCTCAATATAGGATTGTTGTTAACTAAAAGAAAATGCCTAGTCCCAAATATGTAAAATAATGCTCCATCCAGAATGTTACGTTGTATACACCAATGAAATAAAAATAACAATCAAAATGTGATATTAATAAAACTGCTTTATGCATTAAAAAAACAACAAAATGCTTAAGCAAATTTGAATGTTGATTGAATTCTTAATTACCGAAATCTTTAGTATCATTGAATCTCTCTTGCTCTTTACAAATACGGCATAAATTTAAAGAAAAAAAAAAGAGATTTTCCTTTGAGTTACTCTTCTGCTGATTCTACCTATGATTTTGGATTATATGATTGTCTTGATTTTTATTTATTTTTTGGGAATATATTGCTTGTTTGGTTTTGTACACTTTTTTTAAAGGAACTCGTTGGTGAAATTTTTGATGGATTTTTTTGTTAAATCAAGATTCTTAATTTACTTCCATTATTAATATATTTATCTGTAAACCAAAATTTAATAATATAAAGTTAATAAAGAAATAAATTTATAAGGAGAAAGTTTTTCTGAAAAAATATAAAATACGGATTTATATCAGTTCCATAAAAAAATGTGATTTTTGGAATATCTTTTAAAAACTTGAAGTTCTTAACGGATTTCAAAAAATCGGAAATTTTTTGAAAAAAAAACAGAAATTTCTTGAAAAAATGTGTTTCAAAGGGAGACTATGATCCCAAAGGGTAGATGTGGTTAAAGGGAGGGCACATAGCCAAACACCCCCTTTCCCATCTCTTTAGATGTGGTTAGAGGGAAGTAGCCGAGCCCGCATATGTAGAAATGCAAGCCTATTAATAAATCTATTTTTAAGATGGATTTTTGGATTTAATTTTAGGGATATATAATCTTTAACATGGAGATCATGAATATGAAAAATAATAAATTTTAAGAATTAAAAATAATAATTCTAATAAGAAACATTTGGATTGTTAGTTTCTATTGTTTTTAATTGGAACACGAACTAGCATTCATCTTTAAGATAGATGCTTTACACTTTTTGGACCGCATATGTAATCATGCAGTCCAACCGGCATGAAACATTTTTTTTTTAATATTTGTTTGAGTTACTCGAACTCACCGAGTATCTTTGCTCGGGCCAAGGCGTAGCCAAAAATCATTTTTGGTTAGGTGATTGACCATCAATCACCTTTGTCGAAGGAAAGAGGAGGTGAAACCCACTAGAACAAGACATGACAGTGAGTCCCTCCATCTCTTCAAGAAACATGACCATTTGCAATGTCGATGAGTAACACTAGGACTATGGTTTTTTTCGATAATGTTTGGACTTTGTTTGCTAGCTATGTTTGTGAGAATGGAATTGTCTCTCCGGGAGAGTTCTTTCTGTGAAAATATGGCCTTTCTCATGCATGTTTCATGGGTAAGTTCTCTCCTGCCAAAACGACACATTATTATATATAGAAAAATGTTTATATAAGATCACAACCTTAAAATGTACAATTAAAGTGCACCACAAAAATCCCTCGGAAAAGGTTGTCTTGATGTTGGAAAACCCTCTAATTGATCATTTCGACATCGAGATGTATGAATATGTGAAAAATAAAGATTTCGAGTCCCAAAAACAGTGCATCTTGCAACACATTATCTAGACCGTCCATTTTCATGATTTTTATGTGTTTATAGATC